CATATCCTGGAGACTGCACCAAATGAGAGGAGGAAAGCATTTCGCTGCAAGGCTGTTTGTTAGCAAATATGAACTGAGCTCAAGACGAAGATTGAGGGAGTGAATTACGGTTCCGTCTCTCTCGCATATCATCATCGTTGTCAGCTTTAAGGGCCACCTACTTGTACAGTGGTTGTAGCTGCCACAGGTCCGTTCACCGATGATTTGGGGAGTTGGGTAGATAGCTGCGCATTGGAGGCGAGCTGATAAATTCGCGTGTGAATACGACACTGTCAGGGGGCTGTCAGGTGTGGGGATTGGGAAGGAAGCTTTGCACTGAAGGCAATAGCTTAGATTCACGAGCACCATTGAGGGTGCGACTGGGCCCCATGTCTGACGATTTCTCCAACCATTGATGTGGCCCGTCTCGGGGTCCCCAACCAGGAATACGGCTATACCAGCGCAGCTGAGTTTGCTGGTAACGGCTTTTGTACTCTGCAACCAAGTCGTTGTCCGACCGCTTCTGGCTCGTTTCCACCCCTCACGTGGCTGTGCGAAAAGAATCCTTCGTGGGTGTCGCACGACTGGCATATGCAGCACATGGTCAAGCTAATGTAACCTATGAAGTGCGATCAGTTCATCTATTGAGGGTGAGTTATTTCTTCCGAACACCATTCGACGTACTTCATTCAGTATGGCTTATCCGGTGTTCCCACCAGACTCGGGCAATGCTTCGAAGACATTGATGGTCATACACTAACTCTCTTGGCGTCCTCATCATCATCATCATCATCATCATCTTCCGAACATCGACGTACTTCATTCAGTATGGCTTATCCGGTGTTCCCACCAGACTCGGGCAATGCTTCGAAGACATTGATGGTCATACATACACTCTCTTGGCGTCCTCATCATCATCATCATCATCATCATCATCATCATCATCATCATCATCATCATCATCATCATCGAGAGCATGACATCAGTGTTCAACACCAATGCTTCATTGCCGTACAACCATGACTTATTTGAAAGCCTTATTGT